CAGCAGCACCATTTCCTAGTTTGCCTCTAGTTTGTGTGTCTGCTGTTAAGTGAGAATTGGTTAAATTTAACTAGGAGGAAAATAATCTGAATAAGAATACCTTCCTGTCAGGGGAAGGAACTGTAATATATGCTCAACTCAGGCTTTTCCTTTTAACCTAATCAGAAAATGGTGGCTGGGCATTAACCTGACTTGGATTTTACTTCAAATCCTTTGAAATGGTTTTCCCATCTGTGGTTTGTCCATGAATAATTGTCAAGAGTAATTGTCATGCTAGCAAAGTAATGCTCAAAATTCTCCAAGCCAGGCTTCAACAGAATGTGAGCCGTGAATTTCCACATGTTCAAAGTTAGAAATGGTAGAGGAACCAAAAATCAAATGGCCAACATCCACTGGATCATCAAAAAAGCAAGAGTTCCAGAAAAACACCGACTTTTACTTTATTGGCTATGCCAAAGCCTTAGATTGTGTGGTACACAACAAACTGGAAAATTCTTCAAGAGATGGGAATACCAGACCACTTTACCTGCCTCCTGAGAAATCTGTATGCAGGTCAAGAAGCAACAGTTAGAACTGGACATGGAACAATAGACTGGTTCCAAATTGGGAAAAGAGTACATCAAGGCTGCATCACCCTGCTTATTTAATTTATATGCAGAGTATATCATGAGAAACACTGGACTGGATGAAGCACAAGCTGGAATCAAGATTGCAGGGAGAAATATCAATAATCTCAGATATGCAGATGACATCAACCTTATGGCAGAAAGCCCAGAGGAACCAAAGAGCCTCTTGACAAAAGTGAAAGAGGAGAATGAAAAAGTTGGCTTAAAACTCAACATTCAAAAAAAGAAGATCATGGCATTTGGCCCCATCACTTCATGGCAAATAGATGGGGAAACAGTGAGTGACTTTATTTTTTGGGGGCTCCAAAATCATTGCAGATAGTGACCACAGCCATGAAATTAAAAGATGCTTGCTCCTTGGAAGAAAAGCTATGACCAACCTAGATAGCATATTAAAAAGCAGAGACATTACTTTGCCTACAAAGGTCCATCTAATCAAAGCTATGGTTTTTCCAGTGGTCATGTATGGATGTGAGATTTGGACCATAAAGAAAGATAAGTGCCAAAGAATTGATGCTTTTGAACTGTGGTGTTGGAGAAGATTCTTGAGAGTTCCTTGGACTGCAAGGAGATCCAACCAGTCCATCCTAAAGGAGATGAGTCCTGGGTGTTCATTGGAAGGGGTGATACTGAAGCTGAAACTCCAATACTTTGGCCACCTGATGCGAAGAGCTGACTCATTTGAAAAGACCCTGATGCTGGGGAAAATTGAAGGCAGGAGGAGAAGGGGATGACAGAGGATGAGATAGTTGGATGGCATCACCAACTCAATGGATATGAGTTTGAGCAAGCTCCGGGGGTTGGTGATGGACAGGGAGACCTGGTGTGCTGCAGTCCATGAGGTCGCATAGAGTCGGACACAACTGAGTGACTGAACCGAACTGAACTGAATTGTCAGAGTCAAGGAGGCACTCGAAGTCCTCCCACCAGACCTGGAGAGAGAGTGCTTGCATCTTATGCTCTGACTGTGCTAAATGAAGGAGTGGATTAAGGTGTCTTTTATAGAGCATGGTTGAAATTGCTGTGCTACAATGTGGTGCTGTTTTGAGAAAGAAATGAAAACAACATAAAATCAAAACATAAAAGCCAAGTGGAACAGATTGTGAAAACTGTCAACAGTGAAACAGAGGCTGAGTAAAGTGTGTGTGTGTGTGTGTGTGTGTGTGTGTGTGTGTGTGTGTGTGTCTAAAGCCAAAAGCATGAGATGATAATTTCTGAGCTCCAGAAAGAAAGAAGGTAAAATAATGAATTTCCACAGTAGAGCTATTGCTGCCTTTCATTGGATGCACTCCAGTTTAAGCTTTGAATGAGCTGGGAACCTGTGTGCCTGTATATCTTTGTGGCTGTCAGGGAGGGTTATAATGGAGATGATCTCTTTCTTTTTCTTGTGGTCACATGCTTTGCATACTGTGATCCAAACTATGAGCAGGGTCCCATTGTTGGCTTGATGTGAAAACAGGCCTTAGTCAGCAATAGCAAGTTACAATCAATTCATGTCCTTTTTTTTTTTTTTAAATTTATGAAGAGTGTTCATATGCGTGTTTTGATTCTCACAGCATCATTGAGTTTAGTGACTCTTGTTTCTGCAGCACATTCTGTAGAAGTGGAAAGTGAGACTCAGGGAGATCAGAAAACTTCTTATCCTGGAGACCCTGCTGTACCACTTGCTTTCTCCTCAAATTTGCTAAAGTAGAGACAAAAGAGGGCTTTATCTTCAGAAAGGTACTGCTGGGCATCATAGGTTGATGCCTGATGGGTTTAGTAGATAACAAACTCCCCCAAACTCTGTTTGTCTGTGCCAGGATCTATTCAGTGGTAAATACAGGCAATCTAAGATTTGTAATATAATGCTGTGTAACATAAACTTTGGTTGTTATCTTGTCATTTGGGGATGTTCTTATCTTCCCCCCCACCCCATCATGTACTCTGATTTGTCTATTTAGTTCTTAAATAATGTTAAATTATAACTTTTGATAGATTCCCAGATTCTCAAGTTGAAACTTCATATCCTTCTTAGCTTTCAGTTTTTCCTGCTTCCATGGACAAGAATCTACTTAGTCCAGCAGGTGTTCTTCATGTCCCTTGAGCACACTGTTTCTTTCCCTTTGATTTTTCATGCCCAGACTGTTCCATCTTTTTTTTTTTTATGCTTCATTTTATAGCAGTTTTAGTTTTATAGAAAAATTGAGCAGGCACTGCAGAGTTCCCATACACTCCATCTTCTGATTACCCCTCCCCTCAGTTTTCACTATTATCATCTGCATTAGTGTGGTATAATTGTTACAATAGATGAACCCCAAACAATACATTATTATTAACTAAAATCCACACTTTACATTAAAGTTTATTTTTTATTGTACATTTCTACAGGTTTTGACAAATATATATGTCATACATTCACTAGTACATTATTATACAGAGGTTTTACTGCCCTAAAAATCTGTGCTCTGCATCTTCATCTTTCCTCCTCACTCAACCATTAGTGGTCACTGATCTTTTTCATGTATTTATAGTTTGCCTTTTTCATAGTGTTTTAGAGTTAGAATCATACAAAATGAAGCATTTTCAGACTGGCTTCTTTAATTTAGTCAAATGCATTTAAGATTTCTCCACATCTTTGCATGGCCTGATAACTCATTTATTTTTACTGCTAAATAATATCCCATGGTATGGTTGCACCTCAGTTTGTTTCTAAATGGAGCTAGTGAAGGCCATCTTTCTTGCTTCTAGTTCTTGGAAATTATAAAAGAAATTGATATGAGTATTGAGGTACAGGTTCCTATTTGGACATAAATTTTCAATTCATATGGGCAAATATCTAGGAGAATGATTACTAGATCATGTAGTAAGCCCCATGTTACACGTTGTAAAAAAAGTGCCAAAATGTCTTCCACAATGGCTGCGCCATTTCACATCCCATTAATAATGAACTATAGTTCCTGTTGCTCCACATTCTCTTCAACATTTGGTGTTTTCAGTGTTTTGAATTTTAGCCAGTCTAATAGGTATATAGTAGTGTCTTGTTTTTTGATTTGTGATTTCCTAATGACATTTCTGTCGCATATTTTTTCACATGCTTATTTTTTCTGCTTCCATTTCTTGTACTGATCTTGTCAGTCTACGGCTTACCTTAAGTATCACTGTGGAAGACACAGGTCAGGTATTATCTCTTCAGAGAGAGTGGGAAGCTGAGGCTGAGATCAGTAAAATGTTTCATTTATGACACATTTACTCCTTGATAAAGTAAGACCTGTGCCTTCACCTCCTGGGCCACCAGCTCTCACACCTGTGTCTCTACCACAGACCTTCACACCTGCATGCCCAGCTGCACTATGACACCACTGGGAGGTCATCTCGGCTTGTCCACAAGAGAAGTCTCCTAAACCTGCCTCCACCATCTTCCCCAACTCAGTAAATGGAGACTCTGTCCTTCTCCTTCCTAACCCGACTCCATAGTCCTCTTCTCTTACAGCCCACACCTGTCCAGTCAGCAGGTCATACAGACTCCACCTTCCTAATGTGTCTGGAGCGTGAGCCCATCTCTCCATTCCTGCTGCTTCCACTCTGGTCCTGGCCACTGTCATCTCTCACCTAGATTATTCCAGTAGCCTCCTTGCTTGTATCTGCCCTCACCTTTCTCCCATTATTGTCTGTTTTCCACAAAGTGCAGGACTGATTTCTTAAAAACCTCAGACCATGTCAGTACTCCCCTTACTCCTTTATTGGAGAGACCCCAGGCTCCTCCTGCTCTGTGTCCGCCCTCTCTGCCCTCATTCTCACTCTGCTCTCTTGCCTCCTCGTGCTGAACCCCTAGGGCATCTCCCAGCGGCCCCTGCACCCGCCCCTCCCTCTGTGAGGAGCAGCCTCTCCAGGTCTGCCTGAGCCCCTCCCCCTCCCCCAGATCTGCTCACACCCGGCCTGAGCAGAGCCCTCCAACCCCAGTGTGGACTCACTTCCTTCTTTACCCTCCATTTGACTTCCTTTTCCTTCTCGTCCTTAGTTCCTGGGCTCAGGTTAATTTTCCATATTGTCCGTCTCCCACCATGGAAAGAAATTCTGAGACTTTGTTTCCTCATGGCTGAATTCTTGTGCCCAGAATGATGCCTGCTGTATAGTTGATGCTCAATAAATACCTGTTATAATGGTTAAATGCATAAATGGTGTGAAAAAAAAATATAGAATGAAAACACATTAAAAGCCCTGAGAAGTTTTTTTTTTTTTTCTTTCAATGTTCAAAGTTACAGTTTAGTTGCTATGAAAATAAGCACACTATTGCTGATCAAACACTTGTATGAAGTACTAACGCTAAAGGGTTAAGATGGCAGGAGGACAACACATTTAAAATTTTTTTTCCCCTTTTTTCTCTTCATGTAGGATTTACAGTTTCTGGAGAATGGAGATCTAACTGTTGTAGGAGACCGAGGAATCACACTGAGTGAAGGGCAGAAAGTCCGGGTCAGCCTTGCAAGGTAAATGGCATTTCAGTTGTCATCCTGCCCCTCCTCCTCCGCGGCTCCTAGTGGATGTGAGCACACTGGGTGGGCCTGTGTGAAGCAGGGTCTTGGCTCTTTCCCTAGGCTCTTGGAATGAACATAGAATTTTTGAACACTGTCATAATTCAGAGATGAGACTCAGGGAGTGTGAAGTGTCCTCTCCTGATGTTTCTCTACGTTTTCTAGAGCCGTCTATCAGGATGCAGACATCTACCTCCTGGACGATCCGCTCAGCACAGTGGATGCAGGAGTCAGCAGGCACTTGTTCAAACAGTGAGTTTGCTCCTGTTTTCTATCATCTCTGCTTTCCAGGATCCCTGTAGAAATCAGGGAAGAGAGCTCAGGAAAGCCTTTGTACTTTGGGAGACTCAGTTCGCTCTGCCTGGTGTCTCTCTCTCTCCTCCCTTCCCCTCACAGAAGATTCATCATAGAGAAATTTTGCATCATATTGAGGTCAGGACAGGAAAATACAGCAGATACTGTGTGGAGGACAGTGAGGTCTGTGCTTTAGGGAGTGAGGGATAGATGGCAGATTTCCCCCTGCTACTTGTAGTTGCTGAAACCAGACCCCAATGATAAGAAGTACAATGAATAGGGTGGTCTGGTTGTCTAGTGGTTAAGAATCTGCCTTGAAATGCAGTGGACATGGGTTTTATCCCTGTTGGAGAACTAAGATCTCTTATGCCATGGAGTAACTAAGCCCATGGGTCACAACTGTTGAGCCTGCATGCTCCATAGCCTGCATACCACAGCTTGAGAGTCTGTGCATTGCAACAAAAGATGCTGCATGAAACGACTAAGACCTGACGCAGCTAAATAAAGAAAATATTTAAAAAGAAGAAAGATGATGCATGCTTTTTATTTTATTCTTCTTCTTTTTTTTTTGTTTGTGTGTTGGGGGAAATATTCAGCATAATCTTGAGTCTAGAGTGACCTTGTGAAATTACAGGAGACTCACCCTGCCTCTGGCATCACATCGTCTATGCACACAGCCCGGTGGTTTAGACATAGCCCTTTCTTAAAGTTGTCCAGGGCACAAGACCTCAGACTTCCCCGAGTCATCCATGTTGGTCCCAAACTCACCTCCAGTGCTTGGCTCATGCTGTCCCCTCTGCCTGACATATCTTTTCTCCTCTCCTCACCTTCTAGTTCTTTTTTTTTTTTCCCTCTGTGTAACACTTTAGAAGTATTTTTTTTTAACTTTTAAAAAAATTTTAATTGGAAGCTAATTACTTTACAATTTTGTATTGGTTTTGCCATACGTTGCCATGAATCCACCACGGGTGTACACGTGTTCCCCATCCTGAACCCCCCTCCCACCTACCTCCTTCTCCATCGCATCCCTCACTGGGATGACCCAGAGGGATGCATGCTTTTTAAATTGGAGAATGGGACTAGGTGACCTGCTACTTGGCTGCCAGTTCTTTTACTCCATCATTTGTTTAAGGCACATTAGAGGCCAAGACTTTAGTACTGGCATACATACAACTTCTGTGGAAAGGCCTTGTTGGTTTATTTTGCTTGTCATTCCATTGGTTTGAAATTCTTACTAAAGTCTAGAATTTCAAAGTGATTTATCCCTCACCAGCATATGGCCTCAAAGATTAGCATTGCTTCATCAATGCTTAGTAGAATGAATACTTAAACCCACATGTAGGGTTAACTTGAATTTGAAACTAGGTATTTAGAATCTGGTTTAAGTCCTGACTCTTACTTTGTGTTTCTGGAATTTGTTGTTGGTAGTTCTTGTTTGACTACTGAATCCCTAAGATAGAAAGACTCTGACGCTTTTCTGTGTATAATGTGTCCTAATACATGCTGACCGAGACCTCTGGTGGAGTCTAGACGTGTCTTTTTGAAAGTCTCACAAACTTGCTTTTTCTGAAGCAGCATCCACATCTACTCCATCTTGCTGTTGTTCACCTTGGTGAAGCCAACGAGTCCTTCCAGCTGGACTTATTAAAGCCCTGCTGTGTGCCCTGAGACCGATGCCCTTAGAGATGTCACTGCACAAAACCTCTTAGTTTACAAAGCAAGACGGTCAGCCAGGAGAGGGGAAGGACCCACACTGGATAGAATTAAGAGAGATTAGGATGCTAAGCTCTCATTCCTGCCTGTAAGGAACCTGTCTCTACTTGGAACTTGTTAAGACAGAGGGCTGGGAAAAGGTCAGCAGTTCAGTTCAGTCCAGTCACTGAGTCATGTTCAACTCTTTGTGACACCATGGACTGCAACATGCCAGGCTTCCCTGTCTATCATCAAATCCCAGAGTTGACTCAAACTCATGTCCATTGAGTTGGTGATGCCATCCAACCATCTCATGCTCTGTCGTCCCCTTCTCCTCCTGCCGTCAATCTTTCCCAGCATCAGGGTCTTTTCAAATGTGTCAGTTCTTCATGTTAGGTGGCCAGAGTGTTGGAGTTTCAGCTACAGCATCAGTCCTTCCAGTGAATATTCAGGACTGATTTCCTTTATGATGGACTGGTTGGATCTCCTTGCAGTCCAAGGGACTCTCAAGAGTCTTCTCCAGAAAAGCATCAATTCTTCAGCACTCAGCTTTCTTTATAGTCCAACTCTCACATCCATACATGACCACTGGAAAAAGCATAGCTTTGACTAGATGGACGTTTGTTGGCAAAGTAATGTCTCTGCTTCTTAATAAGCTGTTTAGGTTGGTCATAACTTTCCTTCCAAGGAGTAAGCATCTTTTAATTTCATGGCAGCAATCACCATCTGCAGTGATTTTGGAGCCCCCCAAAATAAAGTCTGACACTGTTTACACTATTTCCCCATCTATTTCCCATGAAATGATGGGACCAGATACTATGATCTTAGTTTTCTGAATGTTGAGCTTTAAGCCAACTTTTCACTCTCTTCTTTCACTTTCATCAAGAGGCTTTTAGATCCTCTTCACTTTCTGCCATAAGGGTGGTGTCATCTGCATATCTGAGATTATTGATATTTCTCCTGGCAATCTTAATTCCAGCTTGTGCTTCCTTCAGCCCAGCATTTCTCATGATGTACTCTGCATATAAGTTAAATAAGCAGGGTGACAGTATACAGCCTTGACGTACTCCTTTTCCTATTTGGAACCAGTCTGTTGTTCTATGTCCAGTTCTAATTGTTGCTTCCAGGCCTGCATATAGGTTTCTCAAGAGGCAGGTCAGGTGGTCTGGTATTCCCATCTCTTTCAGAATTTTCCATAGTTTATTGTGATCCTCACAGTCAAAGGATTTGGCATAGTCAATAAAGCAGAAATAGATGCTTTTCTGTAACTCTCTTGCTTTTTTGATGATCCAGCGGATGTTGGCAATTTGATCTCTGGTTCCTCTGCCTTTTCTAAAACCAGCTTGAACAACTGGAAGTTCATGGTTCACATGTTGCTGAAGCCTGGCTTGGAGAATTTTGAGCACTACTTTACTAGCGTGTGAGATGAGTGCAATTGTGTGGTAGTTTGAGCATTCTTTGGGATTGCCTTTCTTAGGGATTGGAATGAAAACTGACCTTTTCCAGTCCTGTGGCCACTGCTGAGTTTTCCAAATTTGCTGATATATGAGTGCAGCACTTTCATAGCATCATCTTTCAGGATTTGAAATAACTCAACTGGAATTCCATCACCTCCACTAGCTTAGTTCATAGTGCTGCTTCCTAAGGCCCACTTGACTTCCCATTCCAGGATGTATGGCTCTAGGTGAGTGATCACACCATTGTGATTATCTGGGTCATGAAGATCTTTTTTGTACAGTTCTTCTATGTATTCTTGCCACCTCTTCTTAATATCTTCTGCTTCTGTTAGGTCCATACCATTTCTGTCCTTTATTGAGCCCATCTTTGCATGAAATGTTCCCTTGGTATCTCTAATTTTCTTGAAGAGATCTCTAGTCTTTCCCATTCTGTTGTTTTCCTCTATTTCTTTGCATTGATCGCTGAGGAAGGCTTTCTAATCTCCCCTGGCTATTCTTTTGAACTCTTCATTCAAATGGGAATATCTTTCCCTTTCTTCTTTGCTTTTCATTTTTCTTCTTTTCACAGCTATTTGTAAGGCCTCCTCAGACAACCATTTTGCCTTTTTGCATTTCTTCTCCACGGGGATGGTCTTGATCCCCGTCTCCTGTACAACATCAGGAACTTCCATCCATAGTTCATCACGCACCCTGTCTATCAGATCTAGTCACTTAAATCTATTTCTCTTTTCCATTGCATAGTCATAAGGGATTTGATATAGGTCATACCTGAATAGTCTAGTGGTTTCCCCTACTTTCTTCAATTTAAGTCTGAATTTGGCAATAAGACTTTTGGCAGTGTCTTAGGTTAGTGCTTTTTGCAGGATAGCTGTCCCACAGTCTGGGTTGCTATCTCAAGCTGGTTCCCTCAGATTGCCCTCATGGCATTCAGGCCTGGTCCTTACCCTAAGCAGTGCAGCCTGCTCCTCCCTGTCCCTCCCCTGCTTGCTAGTGGCTGTGAGTGTCTGGGCTGCTGCTCTTCTGGGAGTTGCTGTTAGGCAGGTAATCTATTAGTTTTAATTATTTATTTATTTTTCCTCCTGGTTATCTTGCCCTCTGAGATTCCAAGGCTTGCCACAGACCTGCTGGAGAGAGTGTTTCCTGGTGTTTGGAAACTTCTCTTTTTTTTTTTAAGACTCCGTTCTCGGGACGGATCTCCATCTCTACCTCTTTTGTCTCTCTTTTTATATTTTGTCCTACCTCCTTTCGAAGACAATGGGCTGCCTTTCTGGGTGCCTGATGTCCTCTGCCAGCATTCAGAAGTTGTTCTGTGGAATTTGCTCGGCGTTCAAATGTTCTTCCGATGAATTTGTGGGGGAGAAAGTGGCCTCCCCATCCTATTCCTCTGCCATCTTAGGACTCAGTTCTTTTTCTGAGGGGCGAGTAGAAGCTCAAGTGTGGAGGGAGGAGGAAGCAGGGCTGTGAGGAGGACAGCAGGCACGCCCTCACCTGGAGGAGGTGGGGTGTTTGGTAAAGAGAAGCTATTTAGAAATTCTTGCTTCCAGGTCCCATGGTAGTTTGCTGGGGCTGTGTCCATCCAGGCTGCTCTCACAGGAGACCAGAGCCTGGGAAGCTTAGAAATAACAGAAGTTTATCTCTCATAGTTTTGGAAGCTGGGAAAGTCTAAGATCAAGGTGTGGGCAGTTTGGTTTCTCCTTAGACCTCTCTACTTGGCTTCTGATGGCATTCTTCTTGCATGGTCCTCCCTCTCCACGTGCACCCCTGTGTCTCTGTCCTTATGTTTTAGTCTCCTCTTCTAAGGACACCAGT